TGCAGGTAAACAAAACTGACTAACTAAAATGTAGTAATACCTGCATACTCAACTGATAAGAGGGCATATGGAGTGTTGTGCTGTATTTTGAAGGTTGGACACAAAAAGGTTTTGGAACCATTGATTTAAACCACTCTAGGTGTATCTTTAGGGTCAATGTCCAGCTAGATGTTAAACCTCACGGCGCAGTCAGGTACTATGCAGCCTCTGATAGGTTTTCTTCTAGTATTGCCCTTTTAAATCTGTTATCTCTGAAAACAGATTTAAAACAGGTGTAGAATAACTGCAGATTACACATTCTAAAATAAGCTGCTACACAAAAGGCTTTAAAGGGGCAGTATTGTGCAAAAATGGACTTTTTTTTAGCTTTACATCATGTTATATTATTCCCTCATCGAAAACCTACCTGGCGTGTTGCATTGATTCTGTCATGCGTCTTCTCAGTTGAACACTGGTAAAAACTATTAAAGGGTTAACAGAGGAGATGTTGTGATGACTTCCTGAAAGTGGAGTTTCAGAAAAAGCAGGAGATGTCCAATTTCAAGGCATTTAAATTATGAAGTGAAATGTCTTTTAAGTCATATTTGATATATAGCCTTTTTATAGGCTATATATGGAGATAACTTGATTGTGCTGTAAAATGGGACTGTGTGCTTGAGAAGCACGTAACACTGCCTCTTTCTAAATGCAAAGTTATATATGGGTGCTATGGTAATGTAAAGCTGATGTATGTTGATAAAAGCACATCACATTAATTCCACTGCGGCCATAAAGGATGGCGTTAACTCGTAAAGAGGGAACAATATTTCTCCTACGAGCACAAAGCACGTCTGCTTTATGAAATGATACAAGATCAACTCTACAACACTGAGCTGATCGAAACTGCGGATCCTTCAGACAGATATCGATTTTTGTTGTGAACCGTAGCTCACTGTCCAAAGATAATTTGACACCTACTGCAGCAGCCCGCTCAGACAAACTGGGAACTGTTAAACCGTTTTAATGACATGCAAGATTTCCCAGGTGAGATGAACATCCCCCCCGACAACAATAAATAGCTGGCGGTGGCGTGAGATCAGTGGCTGCTGTGGGCCCACAGCGTGAAGGATGACTGAGATAAACCACCGTCACCTCCACCTACATTCCTCCGCTATCCATCATCTGACAGGTCTGATAAATGGGAGAGCGGGGCCGCGCTCCTCTCCCCTCCCCTGCAGTTCATCGTTGCGGAACGTCTCGCGTTGAAGAGGTGACATATTGCACAGCAGAGCCTATTAGAGCGCACATCACTCACCGCAGCTGGAAGCAGCTTTCCATGTCCAAACTGTGACAACTGATTGCGATGCAAAAAAAAAATATAAAAAAGGGGAGGGGGGAGAGTGGGTGTGTCTGTGTGTGTCCATTACGTTAACAAGTGGATCTTATCTAATTGAGAGGAAGCCCATTACTGAATTCATCCATTTATTTCTCCGACTGAACACCAACGACAAACAAAATCTTCTTAAGAAGCGCGGAGGCTCTCAAACCCAGCGGCAAGAACTTCCTGTGTCCTGTCAGCCCGTTTTCGTCAGTCGCACTGAAATATTTCGCCGGTTCTTTTGCCTTGGTCCAAACATCCAAATCTGAGCTGAACCATGAGATATTATCTTCGCAATAGCCAGAGGCAGAGGCAGCACACTAACTACTCCCAGAAGTCCTATTTACGCTGCTTCACACAGAGCAATTACCTCGCAGAGTTTATCATCCACATCAGCTCATTTAGTTTCCTTTAACTGATTAAAGTGAAATGAGTCAACGGCCGGAGAAAATTGCCACTTTAATTTCGATAAAACCGTGTCTTAGTTTGCACTGATACAGCCACTTCTCACAAACCAAGCTGCTGCTGCCTCTGCCCAGAGAAGATGAGGACGAGAGCCGAGTCTACGGTGTTTTACATTGTTTGAGTAGTTACTGCTACTTACGTAGCAACAAAACAGTGTTATTTTATAGAGGTTAAGGTACGATAAGTTTGGATTTGGTCTTTCAAAGACACATTTGAACCATTTTGTCTGTTTGGAATATTAACCAAACAAATGTGAGCAAGTTTGAAAAAGCTGCAAACATGCAGATTCTGAAATGACATTGACCTAAGCCCCATTGAAAATTAATTAATAAATAAAAACATACAGCTAGAATCAAATCAGGATCTTGTTGACATCCATAAAAAGCCTGGAGTTTCTATGCAACTTACTAAATGACTTTTGTCTGAAATTAAAGGTGTAGGATTATATATTTTATAGCCACAATTTGGAGCACAGTCCAGTAAATGTTACCTTCAGTTGTCATAAAAATGCTGCGTACTTAAATCAAAATTGACTATAATTGGGCCTCTGTCACTTTAAGAAGCTCCTGTTCTTTCCGACACTCCGCTTTCACCATGTCAAGATTGCAATGTTTCTCCATCAGTTTTACAAATGTTCTTTGGAGAATTGGACTGAGAAGTAGTTTGTATGATAAGCAGTTCCACCAGATGTTTGCCAATTGTTGCTGCTGCTAGTCTGGAGGAGCTGTGAGGGAAGAGACAGGGAGGGGTGATCTGTGAGGCGGAAGCTCGTCTGGAGACTGCAGCTCCGAGGAGGAGTGGCAGGAAGGCAGTTCTTAGTGATTGCAAGCATTTAGGCGCCCCCATTGGTTACGTCGGGAGATTCAAGGATTTCTCAAACGTGCATTACAGAACCATAGCAGTACTCTGGGTATGATTTTGATGAGGAAATAAAATCGTAATGTAAAGTTCAAAAAAGTCGATTTTACACAATACTGCCTCTTTAAATTTCTTTGACACTGTGTGGATGAGAAAAAAAATTTACAATAAATTCTCACTTGCGCATCCAGTTCTTGTTTTTTTTTTTATTTTTTCTTTAAGTATTGAAAGTATTTGACAGAGAATCATTGAACCCTAAAAATATGTTTTAAATGAATCTTTAAAAGGCCAAAACTAGCACATGCCTTCATGTCAATGATGCTGATACTTCTCACTGGCATTACAACATCAGGTACATAAACCTCTATGATGCTTTGAAGCTGTCAAAAGTTTCTGGTAGGAAGGCCAGATATCAGGAAGAAATGGATACCCTACGGACAAATTCGACACAAACATCTTGTGTTTCCCAGGCAGTGTTCACCCTTCATCTAGCACCATTCTGCTTAAGCGCATCATCTCTATAGAGCCAGTTTTGTAGTTGCATTACCAAGAAGTATGACAGCTATGTAAGATTGAGACTTTATTAGGCATGGCCTCTGCAGACTGGTTTTGCTCTACAGTGTTAGTCAGCGTCGCTCTCGCTCCTTCTGGTGAATTCCACACCTCGTTATCGCTCGTCATTTCACATTTCTTTGGTAAAGAAGGGTCCCTTGTGGCTTCTCATGCATTAAAACCAAACTCAGTCAAAAAATAAATGTAGTCATGTGATCCATGTTACAGTTTGTGAACTGACGGCAATCTTTGTGTCATCATGCTTTTCCCATCTGCTTTTAATGGCTGGAAATAGACCAGGCATATTAGTTTTAGTAGAAAAAGCAGAATTTGCTGGGATCGTCTTTGAGTTGCCTCCTCTCCCGACTACAACTATGGCACAGCAAAACCCTGTAGGTCCAGTCTTGCATGGAATGGATTATAACCTTTTTTTTTTGTTACAGACAAAAGGTTTTATAATTGAATAGCTATAATTTTTATAAATGTATTCGAACCCATTCAAACAAGTGGTTCAGACCACAGTTACCCCGGACATTACTGCCTCTAGCTGCTGCAACGTAAAACATGGTTAATTCCACTCTGCTTCTGCGCTAATGGTGCTTGTGAGTAAGAGAGCAATTTATTATTGAACAGCGATATTCTTTTGTAAAAGGCAATTACTTCAATCAGACCATAATGCAAATTACACACACTGAGTCAGTACATAGAAACAAAAACAACTTAACAGTTTTGTGTCGTTTAGCTATAATATAGTTCCCTACAAAACCATTCATAGCCCTTGAACTTTTTCACATTTTAGCAGGTCACAACCACAACCTTTAATGTGTCTATTGGAGATAGGCTGACAGAAAGTAAACGTAAAGTGGTTACCAGTCATTTATACATACAGCCAATAAAAAGATACATTAACTTTTTTTCCCCTCACTGTCCGAAAAACTTTTTTCCATTTTCTGAATGCAACAATAGAGACGGAAAGAATATCGATGTTAATTTCTGATTTCAGCTGTAGTTGTGAATAGGAAGGAAAAGAGTAGGTAGTTTTCAAAACTTGTCAAAAGACTTAAAGGCATAGCTTTATGCGTTTTCAATGCGGGTAGTCATTTTATAGCAAAATCAAGTAACAATATTACCTTCAGTTGTTATAAAAATGCTACATCAAATATGACTCAAAAGAAATTTTACTTCCTGATTTAAGATGTTGAAACTGGGCCTCTGTTTCTTTAAAGGTTTCTACTCATTCTGAAGTCACCACAACATGGATCCTCTTTTAACCCTTTAACAATATTTTTACCAGCAGTGCACTGACAAGCAGCTCGTATGCTGAGCTCAGCAGATGCGCAGCTCCAACAGGTGTTTGCTAATTGACATTGGCTAGTCTGAAGGAGCTTGGAAACTGCAGCTCCTACGAGGAACTGTACCTAAAAAAAGAAGAGGAGATGCACCTTCTGTCCCTCCAGCTGTTTTGCACAGCTGAACGGTTGCCACTGGAGATTGAAGGATTTCTAAAACATGCATAAAAGACTCAAGGCAACACTTTTTTTGATGAGGGAATAAGATAATGACATGATGTAAAGCTCAAAAAAGTCAATTTTACATAATACTGCACTTTTAATTAATAACAATCATACACAAAATTGGTTTATCACAAAAGTCCAATATGATTCATTATTGTTTTTGGTAACATCACAAACTGTAAAAAGAACAAACAAAAACCCCCAAGTAGGAGTAGTTCAGCAAGGCACTGCATGCAGTGGTTTTCCAGGCTCACCGGTGCTGTTGGCCTGTTTGCTGCCCATTAAGCTCCATCCCGGCGGCAACACGAGGTGGCGGAGGGCCAGCGCCAGGTTCTCATCCAGGCGCTCACACTCCTGCACTGGAATCTGACACTCATCCAGGAGCAGGGCCCCGTCGAGGCCGTCGGCCCGGCCTGCTGTGCTCACCTGTGTGGAAGGTGATTACAGAGATGAGTCGACTTTTTAGCAGAGGAGAGCGAACAGAGTTTTTGGTGTGTGCTCCTTTTAAAAAAAAGTCAAGCACAAGAGCATTAATCAGGCGCTGATAAATAATGGAAGACGTAAATGTAGGGAGTCGTGTTTGCACGAGTGCAATTTGGAGCTGCGGCTGTGTTATTGAAAACATCGGGTTCAGCGAGTAAAGAAAATAATGTTCCATTTAGAAGTGCATGAACGCCGAACTCCGGATCAATTTCCTTCTCTTCAATTGTACGTTTCTAAGAGACTCCGAGCTGAGAGACGGAGAATTCAGTAATAGAGTATTAATGTCAGACATTAGGGCAGCAAACAAAAACAAAATGTATCATTTGGTTTCCCTGCTCTCAAGTGCTGCACAAGATCTACTGCTATGGGAGATGAAATGATGGCTCACCAAGAACTGGGCCATGTCAAAAGCCAAATCCTGGACAAAGCTGAATCGATGCTCGGCCAATGGAGCCACGCACCCCGGGCAGGGCGCTGGGTCCTCAGGGTCCCTGGAGGGAGTCTGGGTGGCTGAACACAAGGTGACCAACACCACCTCGCAGCAGTTGTGAGCTACAATACAATGAGAGAGAAACAAAGGGAGATCAGTGGAGGAAAACCAGCCTGGAGAGGACTAAATTGTTTTTGGTTTTCGTTTTATTTACACCATTCAATCAATATAATTCGTCACTTTTTTGTGTTTTTTCACCCTTTTTTGCCCTGCAGCTGGAAATAAAATGTTTTCGAGAGCTTGTACTACTTTCATTTGTGAATTGTATAAAAAAAATTTTTTAAAAACCCGATCAACACCTCAGCACCTTTAGCATCTATTAAACCTGCAGTTTTAACCTGTTCTGACTGATTTTTATCATAATCATCATCAGTCTCTTTACATAAAATACATAAACATTATTCTAAATTATAAGATGAAATTTAACCAGGGCTAAATTACTTTAGTTATTGATTAATCGGTTGATTGTTCTGACGATTAATCATATAATAGAAAAGGATTCTGCAAAGATTTCACTTCAGCCTTTTTATACAATACTACAACATTTCAAGCAACTCGATTCCTTTTTTAAATAAGAAAATTTTATTGCCTGAAATGCTAAAAAAAAAAAAGCATACCAACGTACAAACCTCAGCCCTTTCTGATTAACTCAACGTCAATACAGCTGATATCAACATTCACGTGTTTATTTGCATCTATTAATGCTTTAAAGTACTGTACAAAAAGGCTTATACAGTTAAATAAAAAATTTGCAGAATGTGGCATTTGACTTATCCGATTAATCTATTGTCAGAATAATCAATTCCTAAAATAATCATGGGGAGGAGCCAAAGTTATGTTTTCAAACATCCATCTATCCATCCATTTTCTAACACTCTTGTCCCTTAGTGCGGTCAGGAGGGCTGCTGGTGCCTCTCCAGCTAACGTTCTAGGCGAGAGGCGGGGTCACCCTGGACAGGTTACCAGTCTGTCACAAGAGCAACACAGAGACAGACAGGACACACAACCATGCACACACACATTCACCCAGGGACTATTTGGAGAGGCCAATTAACCCAACAGTCATGATTTTGGCTAATTCTGGTCTTTAGAAATTGGTTAAGTTGTACCTTTGGATTAATGAGCTACCCAGAAGAGAACAGTTCTATTGAATAATTAAAAATATGAATTAATATTTAACTTTTCTGCCAATGAGGACTTTACTCAAACCTGATATTAGCGTTCCATGAGAATCTTTCGAAATGGGTTTGATGCAGCCTGCAGACGTTGTGCAGTCTTATGAAAGCAAAAGTGATGAACAGACGGTTGATACTGACTGAAAGTACAGCAATCTGACAAAGTAACAACAACCCTGACTTATTTTCGTCTACAAAACGCACGTTGACAAAGTGTGGAAATATTAGGAGAATGAGGCTGAATTCATGACATCCTCTGATGGTTTTCATTAAAAAGCTTTATGCTTCAGTTTGGAGCTGCCTCCCTGTCACACCGCACGGTTCCCAGGGACACTTTAGTCATTTCCTTGACGGCAACACTTCAGTAGCTCAAGCGACGGCAGACATTTAGCTCATTAATGTGATTTGCCGAACTAAAGACACTCAGAGTCACAGATTAACCTGACATGCTTGTTCCCAGGCTGTGAGGAGGAAACCTGGGCACAGAACGGAAAACGAAAAAAAAAAAAATGCAAACTGTATTCAGTACATATTCATCATTTCAGACTTGCAATGCTGGAATAATTCCAACTCACAGAAAAATTAGAAGCAAATACCAGTAATCTTTATCTTACTGAAACATTTGTCCAATTGAACTCCACCGCCTTTGTTGACAAGTCAGACTCCAGCAAATTAACAATGCACCGTGCCATCAGTTATATTTTGTTTATGCAAATGAATGCAATGAAGGATGATCACAACAACAGAATGAGCGTGGAGGACCGAGGTCTATGCAAATACACTGCAGTTGCATGAAACATCGGGGGATGCCGTAAAATATTTGGTTGTTTCAAAAGAAATCTTCACATATCAATTTTTTTTTTCACAAGGGCTGGGGAGGGACTTCCTTTCCCATCTTGCAGTCTGCCGTCAGGATGATCTTCCTTGGATCTGGTCATGTAGTTGTCATAAATGTCCTCAAGTTGTAGATATTTTCTTCAGTTTTGATTATTGATTTATTTGACTTTCCTAATTATATTAAATGATCTCACTTTCCTCAGGCTGTCTTAGAGTGATAAATCTCTCATAATGTATCCAGTCCTGGCAGGTTTCCTGCTTCTAAAATATTGTAATCTTTTGAACAACTACAGTACCGCCTCCAATGTCAACATTCCCCGTGTGTGATTTACCACCGCGCGGCTCTACATACAAACTGAGACGGCTGATGGCAAGCCAAGTTTGTGTTATTGCTTTACTCGAGGGCATTTAAATAGCAGCGATTCACAGAATGCACCGCCGTTTTTATTATTATTATTTTTAAGCCGTCTGGGAAATCCGTCCCGTGCCATCCTGGCCGGCTCCAAGCTCAGCCCTTTGGAGTCCAAATCGGCCCGACGGAAGAAGCAGCGAAGCGGAGCCGATCTGTGAAAAGAAAGTAACACCTCTCTGCAACCCCCAACAGACGGCTGTAATTCAGCTGAGCTCTTAATAAGATAACGCCGTTTATCATGCCCTGTCTTTATTCTTTACCTGTCAGGAAGGAAGGGAGACGCAGAGGAAAACAAATTCAGCTACTGCTCTTCCTCGTGTCCCTCGTGCTCTGTGCTTCTCCTCACATCGTTTATTGTTGGACGTGGAAAAGCATCAAAAGGAGATTATATCTTCTGTTTGCCAACTACTGCAGCAGTTTTTAATACAGTTTATCGTTTTTAGTCGACTGTCCAATATGTTTCAAGCAGCTCTACACTGCACAAAACACAAAACCTTACCAAGCAATTTTGGTTTAGTTTTCAACAGCAAAAATCTTAGTACATTGAAATAAGACAAAACTAACTTAGAAACAACTTTTCAGTAGGATGTGGGAGCTTGTTTGAAGTCAATAATTCCTTTATATTGATGAAAAGTTACTTGTTCTATTAAAAGATTATTTCACTAATAAGACATTTTTCCATGTTATAGCTGAAATAATTTAGCAGTGAAACTCACACTTTCATCAATATTAAGGACTTAGTTATTTAAAACAAGCTCCTATATTTTCAAAAACGTTACCTGTAAGTTAGTTTTGTCTAATTTCAATCTGCACTAAAAACTAGACCAAATATACTTGGTCAGATTTTATGTTTTTGCGGTGCAAGTCTTGCTTTACGATACCCGACTCAACTGTACAGAGAAAGGTTAAAATCAGAATGAAGCTGGTTAAATGGTGTTGAATGTGAACCATTAAAAAATTGTTCCCTATTGAAAAGCAGCGGGCAGAAAGTGACTAGAGAGGAGATGGTGCTAATGTTGTGAGTCCAGTCAGCAGATTTATACCAATAGTTGACAACCAGTATGACAGACTAGGCAGCTTCTAAATCACTTTTAAAAGTTACCCTTTTTATAGACACTTTTCAGTCTCTTCACCAAACATCATTTTAAAACTTATAATTTATCCGTTTGTTTCTAGTCAATATTACCATTATTCTTTTGATCAAGTATTGACTTTAGGAATAATCAGAAGTGAGGAACAAAGAATTAGTTGGACACTCAACAGGACACACTGACTGTATCCAACGGAACTGAAATATCACAAATGCTTAACTATCCCAAAAGGCAAAATGACTGTCAGTGGTAGTCATCTTTTGGTATTATTAACCTTGTGTGCAGTGAACTTTGCTCCTTGATGAGTTTGAAGCTGTTGCTCATTTACCAACTCTGCAGCTCAACAAACATGGACTGAATTTACTCAATATAAGCTCAGCCAGATGTAATTCATCAGTCAGATTAATAAAAAAGGAAAGAGAAAGATTCATGTTGCTGCAAAATGCAACAGCAGCTAGGACAATAAATGCTTGAATAGCTTAAAAAGAAAAAAAAAAAAACAACAACATGTAGTTCCACTGGCAGATTTTTTCACTTACAGTAAGATATTTTTCCAGTTTTAAATGAAAAAATCTGCCAGTGGAACTAGTACAGTTTGTATTCAGGAATTATTGATTTAGAACAAGCTTTTATATGTTGTTGAGGAGTTACCTTTAAGTTAGTTTTAATTCAAGTGTACTACAATAATTTCAACTAGACAAAAATCACAAAAATTTTGTTTTTGCAGTGTAATGAAATCTTACATATTGTCTCAGAGTGCACAAATAAACAGCATAATGCCTCCAGCAGCAATGTATAATATTTCTATCTGCTTAGTGATCACTTGCTACTTTGTGTGAAATATGAATAAATACTTTTAAGGTTTGTAGTGACACAAACTGAGAAGAAACTGTAACTGGTATATACAATTCCCATTGCAGTGCAAATTGAATTTCAGGTTTTATTCTTCTAATTTCGTCTATTTTATCTGTTGAAAATAGAAATTTTGAAAACAGGAGAGACGCTAGATCACATATGTGTGGATTACTGTCTCTCTCTGTTGCTGTTGGGAGTAGCCGGGGTTGCGGCGGCGGCTCACCGGGACACAACGCCTGTAAGGTGTCATGGCTGCTCCTCAGGGTGCTGGTTAGATGTCTCTGTGTGCTGCCGGCAAACAGCAGGAAGTAGTCCACTCCCCGATCATCTGCAGCCAGCTCTTCGTCGGAAAGCTGCACTGTGACAACACATCGACCCTGCTGAGACAAACGGGACCGTAAGTGGAAGGAAGAGAAAATACAGAAATGGCATGTTCATGCAGCAGAATGTGTACAAAATTATTAGGAGAGTTTTACTTTGGACTTGCCAAATGACTTCTTTAAAAAACTTCCAGAATATGAAAACGTGGAAAACTTAATGGGTTTCTAATACAATATTAGAAACACATTAAAATATGCAAATAAATATAAATTCCTTTTTAAATAAGAAAGTAAACATTCTACAGCCAAGAATGCAATACTTTAGCATAAATCTCAATTGGGTGAAGATAAAACAAAAAAAAGGAACAATTCTAAAATTCTGGCTAAAACATATTCAGAGACAAAGACATTTTTAGCTTAAATGCAAAATGTATACATGTTTTGTACAGTTTTGGTTTGATTACTCCTCTGAATATGATGTTGTTTTTTTCAGCAAATGCCGTTTTTTTGAGTCTGCACATGTCAGTTAACGATTAATCAATTACTAAATTAGATGACAATTCAATGATCAATAAATCGTGAGTAATCCGATTAATTGTTTCAGCCCTTCTTTTTGTTAAGTAACTGCAAGGCTATGAATGCAGCAATAAGATAGAAAATAGAAGGAAAATAGTAAAAATAACAATCCTGACAGTGTTAGGGGGACTTTAAACGTCATTAATTGGAATTTATCGTGACAGCGATAAATGAAAAATATTTTCATGATAAGAAACATATCATAAAAAATAGTAAAAAATGTAATACATGTCCACTCCTAATAGTGATTAATCGTGATTAATCACAGGGCCGGCGTGTGATTAAGCTGATTAAAATGTTTTGATCGATTTGACAGCACTACAAAATACAAGCAGTTTAAAAACAAACCACAAAAGCGTTGGCCATTTAGGACCAGTGTTGGAAAATTGGGGAAGTTCTCGTCCAATTAGGCTGTTTTTTAAACGCGTTTGGCTGGAGAAAAAAAAAAAAAAAAAAAAAAAACAAGTTTTGGGGGGGTTTTTAAAATTTGGGCTGCTTTTCACAACATTTGGTGACAAAGTTCTTTTGAAATAGTCACCATTATGTGGCAGAAAAACACAAAATAAAATGCTGTGTTACTCATCTTTCTAGCTAATTTAGTTTGAAATCTCTAGAATCTGTTGAACATGACATTCTCAATAATTAATCAAGTTTCACTATGTGGTAGTGTTGTAAAGCAGAAATCCCAGGAAAATATTAAGTTTTAAAAAGATATTTCGTCATAAAAAAACTCAAGTCTCATAGAGATCAGTCAAGTCCTTTGCAGTCCCAATGGGATCTGGTTCTGGTCAGAATATAAGAAAGGACAAATCATGGGGCTATCAACATGAATATCATTACATTAATTTTGGAGTTGGATGGGTTTTACATTGTTTTTGGTTTGGAAACTCAGATCTGGCAACCGTGTTTAGGACACCAGAAGACAGTCAGTTCCTTCATTTGTTTCAGTATCTGGAGCTTTTTAACAGCACAAAATTTCAGCCACATTCAGTTCAACTGTGTGAACTAGATAACCGTTGAATTACCAGAGCGCAAAGATTCAAAAGCGTAATTATGCATAAATGCTGTCTGCTTTATTTCTAAAGCAACAAAGGCCCAGAGTGAGGTTGCACAATTTGTGGAATGATGTGGTGTCATCTGAGGACAGACCAAAGGGGGGAGGAGATGGGACAGAAAATAGGGATATTGTTCAATTCAACTTTTTTTTTTCCCTCCACTGAGGCCAACAGAATGGAGAACGTCTCCCCCCATTTACTCTGAGCGACGCTGCAGCTTTTTGACCCAACGTCTGAGCTGAGCAGAGGGTCAAAGGTGCTGCCTTCCTCTCCTTCAGGGCCATGTTTCTTCCAGTCTAGAAGGCAGCAGCGAGGCTAACCAGCAGCCTTGGGACCGGCAGGCCTCTCTGTTTGGCAAAGCCAGAAATGCTATTTGAACGATTTGAGTGGAGGAGACGTGTTCAAAGTCGGCCCAGAGGCCACGGACAGAGAGAGGCAGCCTGGAGGAACCTTCAGAGAGCCAGAAGTCAGGAAGCCGACTGGCGGCATGCTTAGCGGAGTGCCGAGCGTGTCGGCTTTAACAAGAAGAGATGAGGAAGTGCAGTAAATGAGTCGCCGGCCCGGCGGAAGCCAGCAGGCATGACATCCTCTCTATTAAAATCTCATCTCTTATCCTCAGCTCTGACTGGAAATTAGGGTTTGCCGCGTCGGGAGTGAATTGACACCTCGGTGATTTTGGCAGTTTTGTGCTCTGTGGGAAAATGAAAATACATCGGTGTGAAATAAGTTCCACATTTTCAGCCACGAACAAAGGAGAAGCAAAAGGAGAAGTGATTTTCTCTCTTCCTCTGGATCACTTCAGATAGAATGCCGACCCGTCACACTCCGCGGCGATAGCAGCTCGGGCTTCTTGCGGCAACTCGGCGGGCCTCGCGGTTTCCCCAAATCACCCCTTGATAAACGATGCAACATGGAGGAACCTCCTCTGACATAAGAACACCTGAAAGCCGATTCGATGAGTAAACATTCACAAAAAATATTTATATATGTAACGGTATTGGGCAACGAGAGCCGAGACGGAGGATGGTGCTGAGAGAAAACAGAAGTGAAAGTTGAGAAGAAAGTCAGCTGAATAAGATCGTTGAGAGTCTCTTTTTGGAGGCGAACGTGTTGGCAGCAGGCGAAGAGACGGGAGATGTGAAACATCTGCTGGAGACGGCAGGAAACAGAGCTCCACACACAGCCATCTTTGCAAAACATGCAAAAGAGCACACACAAACACACATGCATACACACACAGGAACTATGGTGGCTGGAGGCTAAAATCTGTACAAAAACACATTGAAATTACTTATTTGTCTGACTTAAGCGACAGAAAGAAAATATATGTTTAAAAGCCGAGTAAAACGCGCCCGTGTGTGTAAATGGACGCCTGCATTGCCACGTTAAATACTTCAAACCAGCGGAGAGCAAAGTGACCTGCTGAGGTATTGACCGGCTAATCATGAAGTTTCAACAAGAAGCAAGCAGCTCTTCAGTGACATGAAAAGCACAGCTGGAGGCTGCAGAACTCAGCCTCTCCTCCCTCACCGCTTCCGAATACGCATGTATGAGCGGAGCCGTTTCCCCGACGTCCAGCTGCTGTTTGTCCAGGTGAGCAAAAGGTTCATTTTAAATCGGAAACACATCCACTACTTCAGTAGTAAAACCCTGCATTCAGTCACGCCGGATGATGTTGTTAGAACAACAGACAACATGTCACTGCGAATGCTTAATAAGACGAAGCTTTGCACAAAATGTTCAGGGATATTTTTTTTTAGTATGTAGAGCTTTGTCGTTACTATATTAGAGCTCTTCTGAACAATTATTTTAGTAATCGAGTAAACTATCAATTATCCTGATGATTGAATAAAAATAATTGAGAAAATAAAGTATTAGTATTAATTTGCCTTGAGAAATTGTAATAATGGAGGTCCTGGAATTGCTACAGCCCTACATGTTTATCTTCACCTCATGGTTTGTAGGTACAGCAGAGCATTCAGGTTGTTCCAAGCTTTAGCTCACAGGAAAATGGCTCCCACTGACTCACGCTACAGAGTCAGGTGACCAGGCTAATCAAGCTAAAAGCATCATCCCTCCAACACTGTGCTTAACAGTTGGCATGGTGATGTTGGTGGTGGTATGCTACATCTGAACATGGTGATGTAAAACACAGTCAAGCAGGTCTAGTTTGACCTCACTGGTCAGAACAACCTGCTCCAGAAATCCTGTTGCAGCTCTGTAAAATATCACTGAACAGAGCAGAACTTTAATCCTAGTATCCTATCAAACAGCCAAACCTGTTCGGTTGTCTTTTAATATTCTTGAAAACTGCTTTGAAATTTGAAATGCTAGAGCAAAAGTTCAGGACCCATTATAAGTATATTATGATGGCAGTGTTCATGTCTTTAATCACGTATTGACTCATCTGTTAATGCAGCAAATTTGCATTCACTATAACATTCAGTGAATATGCATCACCTTGTGATAATATATCCCTTGAACTTTTATAGATATAGTGACTTTTCATGTAGAAAAATCGGTATTGGGCCAAACCGTACTCAGTGCACACCCAATTTGAATATGTCCAAAAAAAATTATTTTCCATCTACTTACCAATTATGTGTCGGCTTATTCCATTAAAGTCAAATAATACCGACTGAAATCTGTGGCTATAATGAACCAAAAGGTGTGAATATTTTTGAATGACACTGTAAAAATATAACCATTTTCCTTCAACTTAGGTAATTAGACACATTTAGTTTCTGTTTTAACCCAGTGACAGACTGAAGCAGTTCCTAAAACCTGAGGCCTAATGAGGCCTCACCACCTGCCTGGTCTCAGTGAAGAGTCAGATTGTAAATCACAGATAACATTATCTAGCTGGTGAATGAGTTAGCAAGTCAACTCTTTAAATGCACACACACACACACACACACACACACATACACTCTTCCATATCCTATATCTGCTTCGTGTGTGTACCTCCTCTCCCTGCCTAGTGATTAGGAGAGCAGTGGAACCACAAAAGCTCCGACTCAGAAATATCCCTACTGCTCTCTCACACACACGCACACACTTCATTAATTTTGTATCAACATATTCAGGAGCCACAAGAGCAACTACATATATTTTGGAGTAATTTGTAAGGGGATCAAACTGAAACACTTAATGTATGATGAGTAAAGGCAGCAAATGTGTAACCAAAGAGTAATTAGCAGAATGAAGCCGGCTATAAGTGGTTATTAGAGCATCCGCAGGGTTCGGGACACGTTCTGTTTGAACAAGTGAGGTAGTTCGTCCAAGTGAGCAAATTGTGTTGGAGAATTTTTAATTCTTCCCATTCAGAGCCGGCACCGACACGCGTCCTGAGCAGAAAAACCAGCTAATTATCAGCTTGATCGACCCCATACGAGTAACAACGCTCAAAAATTCAATATTTGCTTCGATAGTGAGCATACCAAATGGAAGCAGGACAACCAGGGTTTGTTGACAGCATCGCTCTTTGGTGTGGATGTCGTTACTGAGCAAATGTCTTCCATATTTCTCATGTTGTTGCCTTGATCCATAGTCATGTTGTCCTTTTAAATAACTAATTATTAAATTTGCTTCATGAAAACATGCTGAATTCGGGGGAAAAACACTAATGTGTTCTGCTAAAAGTTTTTAGCCCTTTGATTTAGTTTTTTGGCTGTATAAAAACTTGTGTGTTTTTCATAAAACTACAATGAAAACAAATTTTTCACATTGTGGAAGTCGTGTGGATAACCAGATATTACTACTGGGGGAAAAGCAAAAGAAGACGACAGGAAGTGGTTGGAGTGTATGGAAGCCCATTTCCACCACTCTGATAAAAAAAGTACATATCTAATTAAAATGAGATAGTAATTTCATTATAATAAGATAACTTATCTTGATATAAATTAAAAAGTTATGTCATTACAATGATGTTATGTGTTGTTTTTTTATCAGAATGGAGGAAAACGGGCTTCCATAGGCATTTTTTAATGACTTATTGCACAAACAGCGGCGCAACTACATATTATTAAGGTGGATGCAAAAACATTAATTGGCGCCCCCCCCCCCTCAAAGAAAGGACCGTAAGGGTGAGGGGGTGTGAAAACCAAACGGACC